CTTTTGATTGGTATCAATCTAAATCTAATATTTGGACGAAGTGCGAGGATGGGTCGTGCGTGCTTTTGCTTTCTAAATCGAGCGTGCGAATCTCATAAAATCGTTTTTACTTCATTTAGCCACAAATAGCTTACTTTCGTTATTTCCTTTGCCAGTTATAATTTATCGTTCGTTAATTCGCTTAATGCAAGTAAGTACTTTAAAAAAAAAGAGAAGAAAACAAGAACGAAAGGTGGTATAACTGTCTGTACGCATGTTTATCCTGTAAGTGTCCATGAACGATGATTGGAATTTGTGGAACAGCCCTGAGAAAGAACGAACGACGCGCGTGGAAATGATGTTTAAATGAATCGAGGCGTACCCGCTTGTGTGAATCTGTATGAGAATGAACATTTTTCATCGCTGAACATGTGAATTTTGAGAATTACTTATTTTTTACTTCCTTTATGTTCGCTTTTAACCTCAAGTTTTAAGAGATGTGTGACGCGAATCTGCACATACGTGCCTTGAATTTGTATACAAATGACAACCTTCAACGCTAAATATCGATACTTCTGCAAAAAGAAATAAAATCCGATTAACATTAATTTCTCTTCACAGAAAACATACTTCAGTGAAATATCTACTAGGCGATTGAAAGGTGTATCACAAACTTCACGAGTATGCTATACAGTATAAAAATTAAAAAAAGGGAAATCTTATTATAGAGCTTAGTTTGAGATATTGTCACTTCAGACCAGTATCTTAAATTTATAAATGTAATATGAAAATAAAAATTGTAAATTGTGTTTTATAACTTTATGTTGATGTCTTTAAAACTATTTTTAAAGATATATAGTTTTTAAGTATTCCATGTTGCTGAAGAATTGATACTTGGAAGAAATGCGACTCTAATAGTTCTTACATGTATTTTTAGGAGTGACGTGCTATTCCTCAATATAATCACACGGTAATTAATTAATACCGTAAACAAAACACGTCGAAAGACTCCTTTTGCCCCTGTGTTGTCTCGAGTAACAACTCTCTAGCAACGCAGCGTATACAATTTGTAAATCTATATTAAATTACCTTTCAATCACCTTATACAGAAAATGTACACATACCATCAGGCAACTCGTATAGTTTTCTAGGAAGGGAGGCAAAATAAGGATGCCTTAAAGCTTCCTCAGCTCCTATCCGTTGATCAGGATTTAGCTGTAGAAGCGCTGATGCCATACTATCACCTTCAGCAATATCATAGAGTCTAGGAAATGAAAGACCCAATTTTCGTGAACTATAGAATCCCAGTCTATGTGGTTTGTATCCTGGCAGGTGCGTGACACCAGGCCAAGTTTCTTCAGTAGGAGTACCCAATACTTTGAATATTTTATCAAGTTGGTCGTACGTACAGCGTACACCTGGGAATGTTGGTTCACCAGTCAACATCTCCATAAATATGCAACCTACTCCCCACATGTCGAGCGAGGTAGAATACTCTGTGGAACCCAGAAGAACATCGGGTGGCCTGTACCACAGGGTCACTACTTCATGCGAGTATGTATGTGACGGTACAGATTTAGCTCTTGCTAAACCAAAATCTGCTAGTTTCAGTTCCCCTATTTCACTGATTAATAAATTCTGAGGCTTCACATCTCTGTGTAATACTCTCCTACATTAAATTACAATCGAATTAATAACTATGTAGCATGAAATTAATCATTTGTATATAATGTACAGTTAGGAGACGACTGGATGTCTAGCGGAACGGCACAAGGGCAAGAGGTGTTTTTCTAATTTAACAGGTCTATAGTTTTGATTGCTTACGTATGACCGTATTTACAAATAGTTAATTAATGATCGAAAATATCAGAAATTAAGAAATAAAACCAAAAGAAGATTAAATGAAAATAAATAAGAACTGATCAATCAACTGAATTCTTCGGCCTAGTTATCAAGTGATCTCCTAGCAGTATATATATGTATATGTTTTACCTCCTATGACAATACGCTAATCCTCTTAATAATTGGAACAGAAACAATTTAACGTTTCGTGGATCTAACCCTCCATTACCGGTACCATGCCTCTCCATATATTGAGATAAGTCAGTATGAACATATTCAAAAACAAAAGTAAGAGTTTCCCGCGTATGAATTATATCGTGCAAGGTTACAATATTGCTATGCTTCAATTCTTTAAGAAGGCTTGCCTCGCGAATGGCAGTAAATGGAGCACCTTCTTCCTCTTGCAGTCTAATTTCTTTAAGTGCCACCAATTGATTTGTAAGGTGGCTATAACCTTTGAACACTGTGGCGTACGATCCTTCCCCTAATTGTTCCAATTTTATATATGCTTCAGATTTACCAAAGGGAGAATCACCCTGTAAATACAAACATAATTACTTTTTCGTGCAACAAGTTTTATTAAACACATCTGAAACGTAATATTGCGATGTAATGAAAGGTTACTTATCTACAATTTGAAGTTAATACACTTTTAACATTAATCAAACAGTACTTAAGTATCTATAAAGTATCTAATACACATCTAGGAATTTGTATTACAGAGTACAAGTAGCAATTTGCAACAAATATACTTAATGTTATTGATAAAAAAATCTGGAAAACAATAAATTTAAATGTACAGATTTCTTTATACTACATTTCTTTTTCTATTCTTATTTCCGTTTCCATTTTTTTTACATTTGAAATTTTTATTTTCCAAAATTAAAAAATTTTTCTATAACTGAAGAAGCTGTTGAAGTAACATGTGAAGAGCTTTAGGTTTGAAATAATTAAGTACCTTTAGAGCACAATCGAAACGAAATGAAATACTTAAAAAATTTTGAAGCTTAATTAAGAATGACGGGTCATTTTTAATAACATAATGAAACAGAAAAAATATGAAACATAAATATAATTAAGGGGGACATTACCCCAAAAGCTGAAAATCTTTTGGTTCTTCTAGGAGGTGGATCCGGCCCAAGGAAGACCTCTGACTTAGGTCGCGGTGGACGCCGAGGTCGTAAAATAACTCTAGCTTCTTCACGTATATCCTCGTCAAGAAGCTTGGAATCACTAGAAACGGAAAGCTGCCGATGCACTCTCTCATGGTCGCCCACACCTGTCCATTCTATGACATCCAATTTCGTCCTTAAAACTCTTTTTAAAATACCAGCAATAGGAATCCACGTAAAATCATAATTCCTCAATAATTGTATCAATACATAATATTTTAGCTTTAAATAACACACTGTCATCGAACAATGCAATAGTACATAATGTCAAGCAGATTGCATATCTGACCATAATTAATTATTAAAGCGATCAAACGTTAAGCGTGATTATCATGAAACCAGCGCAAATACATTTTACAGCAGCAAGTCATTCATGCAATTTATTATCTCTAATAAAACATAAAATACTGAAGTTTCTGATAAGTGTTGATAAACACTACAAGAAATTAGTTACTTTGATAAACAGAACTCTATTTCACACTTCATCTTACAGGAAACTTTAATATCATCTATCGAACAATTGAGAGAATCATTTATTTTAACGACATAGATTTCGTAATTAATTAATTTTTCACTCACCATAACGGCGATCCTTATCTGCAGGTATATTACCGTTTGGTTCCAAACGGTCTAGGAACTCCTCGGAATAGCCATTATATGGCAGTTGACCCCTATTTGCAGCATCATCAGCCTCTTCTTTTGATATTGCTGAAGTACCAAAAATAGTTAAATTGATAAGCAGACATTAAATGAACTTGTATAATTGTGTATCGTTTGCTGTATTATGAAATTAATAATTTAAAGAACTCTTGAAATGAGAAATTTCAAGATTGCAAAATCTTGAGAAATAAAAAAAAATAAATATTAAAGTTCATATACTCTTCTGTCTATAAAAATTAAAGCTGAAGGATTCAGAATACTACGCCAGTTTATTATAATGTTTTAATTGCATAACTTTTAAAGTAAACAAGTCTAATAAAACTTATTCTTGAAATAACGCTAAATACATAGTATCTTGACCAGTTGAAGACAGTAACTGATAAATTTTATTGTGTTATTTTATTTTTTTTAATTCTTTGCATATATTAATTCTTTCTGTTTTTTCTAAAACATTTATTTACTAAAACAAGTATTTGTAGGAAAATGAGAATTAGAATACAAGAAAAAAGAAGAAAATAAAGGATCTTATATATACTTAGTTGGGGATTAATGCCCATACCATATATACAATCTTTTATTTCTGCGAAACAGAAAGTAGTTTATAACATTGTATTTAATCTAAGAATTGTCTCTTATATACCAAAGTATTTTATTTTATTTTAATCTAAATTCATTTGATGAAAATGAAATGTATTTCAAGCATACATTTAAATTAATAATCAAAGATAACTAAAGGAAAAGTTACAATTTGAATAGTAAAATGACTTTTATTTATAACATTCATTGCAATACCTTGTGTCAAGTTAATAATGTGAAGATATAAAATAAGAATATATAATTAAATATACTTGTGAAACCTTTTGTTAAATTCAGGAAAGTATTAATACTTTTGTAAGTTATATAATGGAAAACTACTGTAACTGGATCAAGTAATACTATTACAACTGTACGTCAAAGTGAAGTATAGGTATAAAAGATATATGTAATTTATATGTATTAAAACATATTTGAATTATTTTATTTTAACTTAAATACTTAAAATTTTGAACATTTCTAAAGATACTTACAAAGTCTCCCAAAACTGTGGCTAAGCCGTTTTTTCAGCTTTTGTACTCTACTAAGGGCGCCTCCCTTTTTCTCCCGCATTGTCACAGACCCTGTACATAATAAACATAATTTTTGATAACTGTAAACCATAATAATTACATATAATCTAATATTTGCAACTTTGGTAATATAATTAAGAAATTCAGAATAATTTAGTGTCATAATTCCATATATTTCTATGTTATGTATTACTTGAAAAAATTTCAAATAAAATTTATTCTTTCTTAAAAGAAATGTTATTAATTTTTTAAACAGAGCTATTCATATAATATTTTTGAAAATTTTTGAAGATTTAAAAATCTTATGTTTAACTAAAAGTACAGCTCATTCTAACAGAAATTCATTAATGTAAAATATAATGACCTTCTAAAATCATTTATAATTATTTAAATTATTCTTTCACTGAACACCTACAAGATTTTCATTAAAACAATTATTTGTCAATTCCTGTGTAAAGTTGATATAAACTCACACTAACGATATGCTTTATTATCACATGTTTACAAATATGAAATATCTGGTGCTGGAGTATTATACTGCAATTGCTTTTTCTGTACGTTTTAGAATAAATAAAACACACTAAACAAAATCCATGAAGTTAGATAATTTTTTCTGTTAGAAATGCCTGATAACAAAATTATTAGATAAGCATTATGGAAATGGAACTATTACGAAATAGAGTAAACTAGAATAATAATATTCAAAGTGATTCTTTCAAATATTCAAAATAATAAATATTTTCTAAAATTTTAATAAATAGTAATTCAAATGATTTAAATGATTTAAATGAACCTTGATTAATCTTAAAAAACCTGAATGGAATTGAATACATTTCTTGTTAAATGAAAATATATAATTCTATATAAAAGTTCAAAAATAACTATGAAATCTTGGATGTTTGGGTCCTTCTTACTAAGACCTATATCCATTATAAGATATTCATTATACCTCCCTTGAAATTAAGTTCTATTTAAAACATATTTTTCAATAACAGATAATTCAAGAGACATTCACGTTGGAACATTAAAGTAGGACACCCTGCAGGAAATATATATGTCTGAGATAACAAAAATCTTACATATTAATATTATCACTGAACAATTCTCCTAGAAATAAAAATGTGAAAATTTATCTCCTTTATATCGATAATGTTATTTTTCCTTCTGTGAACTGAAGAGAAGATTGCATTGTCTTATACACGTTTGTTTTCAATACTGAACCATTAGTGCAAATACTTAATTGCTTGCACAAATGGTAGCAACATTCTCCTTTACTTTACACATTATACAAGTGTGTATGTTCAATTTCAAAGGAATAATGGAGGCAATTGTTCATTTCACTGTCAAACCCCTTCTGTCGAATAAAACTAAGAACTCATTAAGTGATGTACAGTACCAATTACTGACTTCAGTTTCCAGCAAATTAATGGATACAACGTAGCACCGTTAAAATGATTATGCACATTTCCAACACATGTGTTAATCACTTCTAACGGAATCTTTTGGAAACTCATACCCTCTACTCGAATAGCAAGTGCCATACCCATATACTGTGTAAATATGGACTTCATTATCAAAAAGCAATAAGACGCTAGATATTTGACAAATACTGCACACATATATTATCATTCATATTGTGTGCAGTTATTTTATTGTACGCCTGTACGTATCGTGTGGACGAGTGCGTGTACGCGTGTATGCGTGTATATAAAAACACGCGAGTGTTCTACAGGTCAATGAACCAACAAAGTTTAGTGGCATGTGTCAAATAACGATAAATTACGTTCATGACTTTTCGACTGGCCGTCGGCATCGCATCTCGGCTCGCGGTGTTCCGCATGCTTCCCCGTACACAAAAGCACTTTTCTCCATTCACGCATCTGTCGCTCTTTGAGAATGACGTTTCGGCGGTAACGCAACGGAACACTAATTATCCGCACTCAAAACGCTGATACACGGCTCCGATGCGATTTCATAGGTCTGATAAACTCGTATACGTATACCCGTACACCGAGACTCGATAAAAAAAAAAGTTTTGCCAAGAATGTACACGATCTCGTGTACGTTTCTCTCTTCGAAATGTGTACTGCTCGACCCCCACCCTTCCCCGTTTGTAAACGACACACTCTCCTCGACTCCCTCTTTGCCGCACTCTCGTGGGCCAGTCACTTTGTCCCTCTTCGTCGGACCAACGTCCACCCCCACAATCGCGGAACTTTTGACACTGTTCAACCTATTCGATTCCGTGTGGTTCTCGCACGGACCCACATGTGCGACGCGTAGGGTCGAAAATCCGTCGACGGATTTTTAATAGGAAGGGTAAAAAGCGGAAAGAGCGGTGGAACGGACGAACGAACGAGCGAGCGAGCGAGCGGCGAGGACATAAGTCCGTAAGGCTGCGGAAAACGGGCGAGGGGAGGGGAGTGGAAGGGGAAGTAGCCGAGTGAATTACTTCTAGTAGCCGGAGCTCGCGCGGGCGTCAACTTACCCTCTTTGCTCTTCGAGGCGGTCGAGCCCTTGTCCTGACAGTACATGATTACTCATTCGCTCGCACGCACGAAACACATCACATATGGGCGGTGACGCACTATGTGTGTGTGTGTATGCGAACGTGGTACGCGAGAAGCTATGTTCCGTGATGCTTCTCTCGGGCAGGTCAGGTCCGGTGAGCACCACCTTCACCTTTCTCGTATCTCGTACATCGGTGGCAGTGCACGACGCCTTCCTAATGAACTGATCGCCATGAAAAACGCACTATCGTTTTCCCCCGGTTGGCTGTTTAAGACGTCGAGCCTTGAACTCTGGCAATGATACGCGCCACCGATGGTATTCCTCTGGTTGGAACTTCACCGATAGCTTTTCACGCTCGGACTCGGCCTGAGAAACGTAAATAACCTTTTTACCGAGGCTCTCCTGTCGCAATCTCCTGGATACACGGCGGGTGCTCGCGCACGCCACCACTATCTCGAAGAATTCATCCGCGAGAATAAACTTCTTCCGAGAAGTCTTCTTCTCACAACCGGACTACCTCGCGCCACAGACAAAAGTCTGAAACTGGCCGAACCACATTGAGCTGGGTGTATGTGCTTTGGGAATAGCACGGAAACTCGAATACACTTCCGTGAATGCTCAATGGCAGCTATTTCGTTAGTTAACAGAGAATTATTATCACAGAATATTTTTACATAGACGAAGCTTGCGTGGAAACATTTGATGCTTGTGTCCCCAAATTTAGTGATGTTGAAGCTTAAATACGAGCAGGTGTTGACGATTACTTATGAATGCCTATATCATTTTATAGGGGTTCCTAGATAGAAGAGTAAGAAGAAACTGTATGGGAAAAATTGAAAACGTTCGAAAGCGCGGTAATATTTGAAATATATATTGTAGGAAATTATATTTAAGAAGTATACATAATTTCGCAACTTTATTTTATTTCAAACGATGCTTTTATTATATCATATATGATTTTATATATTTGAGAAATCATTATAATAGACTATATCTTATTGTAATTATATTTATATACAATTTTAGATACTTATACGTAGGTAGTGTACGTGTGGGTACTATACACTTCTTATTTTTATGTGTGCTATAATATTTCTTATTTTATTAATATTATTATTATATTTTGTATTTGCATGTTACAATGGGTTTTAATAGTTAAGGTTTAGGGAATAACGTGTATTTAAATGTTTCCAAAATTTCGTTGTGTCTGGTGCAATAAAATGAATTTATTAATATAACAATAATTAACAATTAACAATTGCGTCTTAATAGTATTTTATATAAATATAAAATATAACACCTGACACACTAAAAATACTTATAGTATTTACACGAAATCTTTTTCTACATCCTTTGTAAAAAAAATTGTAGATATTATACTATTCATTATATTTTTCCATATTTTGTTTCTTGTTATACATTTATCTTTACTTCAGCAGCAACAATTTCTGTTTTGCAACAAACTCTTACTCACTTTTTTCCCTGAAAATATAATATACAAACTTAAATTTGTAATTTCATAATTTGCGTAATATCCCAATTGAACATACTTTTAAGTTGTGCAACTATATACATGTCACTAAATTGTGCAGTCGTGCATGCGCATTCTGTATCGCAAACTGTGAAGCCGTACACGCATGCGCATTCGGTATCGCAACGTTGTGCAGTTATATTCATGAAATACTAAGTACTTTTGCACGCAAGCGCACTAAACATTTCCAAGTTTTGTGTCTGTATTCATAGAACACAACTTCTATACCTACGTTTGCGCATTAGAAATTGATTCTCTAAAAATGTCAGAGTTTCTCTTCTATAACGGATCTCTATTATATCATTGTGCAGAGAATTTATATCGCAAACGAGATTGAAAAAGAATAACGTTATTCAAAGTTAGAGTTCTACTATCTATTTGTTGTATGTAAACACAGATTAAACCTAATACACAAATGCTTTACGAGCTGTAACTTATTTAATTTACCACAGACTCAAGTCTGAATCAACTAAATATTCTATATCTCCTACTGAATATATAACAATGGTGCAGTATATATGTAAATAGACGTTGCATATGGAATCCTTAGGATTTCCGTAACATTTCGATGTTACGCTTGATGTTCTTGATCATTCACAATTTAGATTTGTTGATCGATTTTCCCTATACTTCATTCTTATTACAAAGGTTTAATCTAATATGACTTGGCAGCAACAAATATATATAGTGCCTATATACATTTAAATGGTGAAAATAGCATTTATTGAATATACTACATATGTTCATCAAGTCTATATGGAATTATCATGAAACTTTTATGATTTCTGGGTTAATGTCGGCATAACTCAAAAAAACCTTTAATGTTTATACGTGAACAGTTGTATCTTTATTCTCGAAAGCACTCTACAGAAATGTAGTTTTTATTAAATCATACGTATAAGTATTTCTACACATAAGTTTATTTTACAAATTGTTCGGTACACACATATAATTATTTTTTTGTGGTTGTGAAATTATAAATATGTACATGAAAAAATTATATTCGAATAATTTTTCATCTTTAATTTGTTTAATACTTTAAATCAATATTACGACTCTTATTTTATTAATTGAATATTTATTTATTATATTAATAGAAAATAATGTTATATTTATCTCTGAATTGATTTTATTCGCGATCTGATGTTTGAATTTTGACATCCTTAAGAAGGTAGGATGAGAAAATAAATTGCAGCTGTTTCGTTGCTGGTATCAATGAATTTCGTACGAATATGTTACTAGTTTACTACTTTTTTTCTAAAGACGACATTGTAAAAACTAATCAGTCTAAATATTTACACACCTTTCATGTTACAATCTTACGTAGTAGTTCAATAAGTGATCATTTAATTCGGGTAGAGTCCGTTAGTGTACGGGGTCATTTTTTATAGTGTCGGTATTTCAGAACTATAGCCATAAAATTATATTTCATGGGACATTTATATAAATGTTAAATTTGTATTGCTATATAAAATGTGTTTCACGGTTAAGAAAATTCGAAAACTACTGTTGGATATTATAAACTTGTGATATTACCGTAAAATATCATTATAAATTTGGCTAGATAATTTAGTGCCATGATGTAGACTTAAGAGTCTGTTGCAGTGAATTAAGCGAATTGCAGTAAGACGCTAGATGGCACTTCGGAAGTGGTTTTCTATTCCTACTCTATTCCTACGTGAACTATTCCTACGTTCATATAATACATATAGATGGTAGAACTGTCAAATAACATTATTTTAATAGAAGGGATGAAAATAAGCTCTCTTCATGTTGAATAAAGAAATTTCCGACGCAATGATGCTGTAGTCGCTGAAAATAATTATTTAAGAGTATAATAATAAATATATTTTTAAATTAAAACGTGTCAATATATTTATTGTATTACGATGACAATTAAAGTTGTTTTTCATAAAGTGTTACAGTATTTTGTTTACAATCACCTAAATATGTTTTTAATAAACAAAGATTTATAAGTCAAATTTAATTTAATCATTTTAATTTAAGTTTTGTAGACAATAATAGACTTTAATGATTTTTTTTTACAATTCGTTTGTAATTACAATGAATTACGTCTAAATTCTTTGAGTCCGTGCAAATCGAATACTACGTTTATAAGTTGTCCATTATTATTATTATTTAATATTAACATGTTTTTTCTTCAAAGAACTTCTTTATGATTCTATATAAAATTATATAAATTAATTTGATTAGTATTCCGCGTTTGTTCAGTTTTATAAAACGATTATCTTAAATTTTATCGATATTCCTTAACGTAGCAAACAACATAAGTATTTATTTTAATCAGCAATAGTATGTAGTAATTAATAATAATTTAGGGTATATGTTATTTAAATTCTATTATTTATTCTTTCAGCTACAACATGATATAATTTATATTTGGCGCGTTTAAAATTCGCAATACGGGAAGCCATATAACAATAGTGACACCAGAGCACGTGATTCGAGTCGTCATCTTTTTTTCGTTTTTTGAGAAAATAGTTCCATTTTTATTCTCAACTCTGCAGTGTGCATGTTGCGCATGCGTCCGCAATACTTACAGGCGTTCTGTGGTAATACTTACTTTCGCGTTGTGAGTCGGCAAAAAGGGAAAGCTTTCAGTTACAGAACAGCTTTCAAAATATTTCGGTTTGTAAGATTTTTTCGGGTTGCGATCCACTATCGAGGGATGTCGACCACAGAAAAGCAACCGTTTCGCCGGCTACCTACAGACGTTTTGCCATATCATTATGATATTGTTTTGTCACCAAATCTGAAAACTTTTATCTTCGATGGCAAAGAGAATGTGGATATTGACGTAAGTCCAATCAATCTAGATCACCCATTAGAACATTGATAATGTATTGTACCTTCGATTAAAACCGAGGTATTTTAATACAATTATATGATAACATTTTATAATTTCTCTTTCACATTAAAATATTCATTTAAATATTGCATCTTTTAATTTTACATATTGTTAACAGTAAATTGTATTGTTTATAGGTAAAGAAATCCACAGACATAGTTATTTTGAATTCATTGGACATTGATATAAAAAATGTATCTTTCCATGGTGAGGATGGATTGATCATTTCAACGAAGAAGATTGATATTTCTGTCTCTGAAGAAACAGCTACTTTTGTATTCAATGAAAAGTTGCCGCTTGGCAAAAGTGGACATTTAAGTTTACAGTTTTCTGGAGAAATTAATGATAAAATGAAAGGCTTGTATAGAAGCAAATATACTGGGTATTACAGTTTATATAATATTGTAAAATATGATGAAATATTGCATTTATAAAAAGAAATGACTTTGAGATAATTGTTGATCTAATACCGTCATTACAAGTTATAATATTTTGTAGGCAAAATAAGTGGTGTGCTGTAACTTATTTGTGTCCTACATCAGCACGCACTGTTTTTCCTTGTTGGGATGAACCATCGTTAAAAGCTACTTTTTCAATACAGCTTATACTTCCAAAAGACGAGTCACTTGTTGGCTTGTCCAATATGGTGAGCATCTATCAATATATAAATTAACAGAATTTTTTTTGTTTTTAGGCCTGATGGAAGTGTTGAATATGCAGCTGTAACTCAATTTGAATCAACAGATGCTAGACGTTGCTTCCCATGTTGGGACGAACCGGCACATAAAGCCACATTTGATATTACTCTGAACATACCATCGGGTCTTACAGCACTTTCTAATATGGTAAGTAATGTCTAGCATCTGTTTTGTTATTTTTTTCTTTCTATAGAAGTAGTTGTACAATTATAAAACTCATTTATTATTTGTTTCAGCCTGTTTTACGTAAAGAAACAAACGATTCCACAGACACTTTAGTATTTGAGACAACACCAATAATGTCAACATATTTGGTAGCAGTGGTTGTTGGTGAATTTGATTACATAGAAGACAAATCTACAGATGGTGTATTAGTACGAGTATACACACCGAAGTCCAAAAAGGAACAAGGACAATTTGCTTTAGAAACAGCAGTTAAAGTGTTGCCATATTACAAAACCTATTTCGGAATTGCTTATCCACTTCCGAAAATTGATCTCATTGCGATCGCTGATTTTTCGTCTGGAGCTATGGAAAATTGGGGTCTTGTCACGTACCGTGAAACTTGTCTATTAGTTGATCCTCAAAATACATCTGCTCTTCGAAAACAGTGGATTGCTTTAGTTGTAGCACACGAATTGGCACACCAGTGGTTTGGAAATCTGGTGACTATGGAGTGGTGGACACATCTGTGGTTAAATGAGGGATATGCTTCATTTGTTGAATTTTTATGCGTTGCACACCTGTTCCCAGAATACGATATTTGGACACAATTTGTTACAGACACATATATTGGAGCATTAGAATTAGATGCTTTAAAGAATAGCCATCCGATTGAGGTACCAGTCGGTCATCCATCTGAAATTGACGAAATTTTTGATGAGATTTCTTATAATAAAGGTGCATGTGTTATTCGAATGTTACATGCTTATATTGGGGATGATGATTTCCGTAAAGGCATGTACTTATATTTAAAAATGCATAGCTATGCTAACGCAGAAACTGGAGATCTTTGGGATGCTTTGGAAGCAGCTAGCAAAAAGAACGTACGTCGTGTGATGTCCACATGGACTGAGCAGCAGGGTTTCCCTGTTGTTAGAGTCCAACATCGTCAAGAAGGCAAAGACCGAATTCTGTCTCTTTCTCAAGAAAGATTTCTGGCTGGTGGTGCAGAGGATACAGGAAATAGTGTATGGATGATACCAATTAGTGTAAGCACGTCGAAGGATCCTGAGAAATGCGTGCTTACAGATTTATTGGATGAGAAAACAAAAGAGTTCAGAATTGAAGACGTTTCTGAGGATAGTTGGGTGAAGATTAATCCTGGAACAATTGGCTTTTATAGGACTTATTATAGTCAAGATGCATTGTCACTGTTATTGCCAGCTGTTAAAAATCGTACATTACCTCCCTTAGATAGACTGGGTCTCTTAGATGATTTGTTTGCTGTGGCACAAGCTGGACGTGCTTCTACTGTAGAAGTACTCCATCTGATGCACGCGTTCCAACAAGAAAATAACTATACTGTATGGTCTAGTATAGATAATGCTTTAAGAAAAATTGGATTCCTTCTTTCTCATTTAGATCGTCTAGATTCCTTCAAGGCATTTGGACGTAATTTAATGCGTGACATTAGCAACGAATTAGGGTGGGAACCTAAACCCAATGAAAGTCATTGTGATACACTCCTAAGGTCCTTAGTGTTGGATCGTATGGCAGCTCTAAATGATACAAACACTATTGAAGAAGCAAAGAAACGATTTGACTTGCATGTATCTGGTAAAACGCTTCTAGCTGCTGATTTACGCAGTCCTGTGTATCGAGCTGTACTTTCCAACGGCAATAATGAAATTTATCAGACTATGTTGGAACTCTATCGTGAAGCTGATTTACATGAAGAAAAGGACAGAATATTGAGAGCTCTTGGTGCAATAAAAGATGAAACTCTGCTAGCGGAGATTCTTGAATTCGCTATGAGCGATGAAGTCAGAGCTCAGGATGCAGTATATGCAATTATGTCAGTGTCAATGACATACAAAGGCCGTCTTATGGCTTGGGATTTCATTAAGAAAAATTGGCAAACGCTTCGCGATCGTTATGGTGGCGGTTTTCTGATGTCCAGATTGGTTAAAATTGTCACTGAAAACTTTGTCACCGAAGAACAGGCCAAAGAAGTTGAAGACTTTTTCAAAGATCATCCAACACCAGGAACAGAACGAACAGTACAGCAAAGTGTCGAATCTATTAGGTTGAACGTAGCATGGCTGGCTAGAGATTTGGACTCTATTAAAGAATTCTTGGATAAACAGGTGTAGTAGTAGTAGCATGGATTTTTTCATGCAGTGAATTTTTATCACTAATTTGTTACAATGTCTGATAAAGCAGGAAAAGGAAGGATCAGCATTATGCCAGTGCAAGTATTAATGAATTACATCATTTAAACTCAGAACAGGGAAGACTGTTTTTATAAAACCCCATCACTGTCGTTAGATTTAAACACGATCGGATAAATTGATACTTTCATTGGAAATTCCTTAAATATGAGGATCACGATATCTTGTCTTTAGTGGATGGCATTTTCAGAAACGGAGCATTAATTCCTGCATTTATTTTTTATCGTGTTCCATGGGCACGTGATTTTTTCTTCGCGAGTACGAGATTGTATAAGTGCACCAGTATTTGTCACTCTTGTATTGTGCGTGAGATGAAAAAAAGAAAATGAAACAAGCGTATAGCTGCAGTACACATTTATATCACATACCATAATCGAGAGGATTCAAATAAATACTTTTACGCTTGTATTTGCACGAATATTTTAAATATCCCCTCCATGTTTATTTACATAAGTCAATAGTCAAAATAATCAGTTGAAAATAAGTTATATATGTTTAATCAGTTAACTTATCAATTAATTCATCTAGCTTATATACAACATTATTAGACACTCCATACAAATGTGTATCATATTAATTATAGAAAGTGTGTTATCAAATATTCGAAAATACACTTTAGTGTTGTCTAGAGATTGAACAATTTGTGGATAAGAATGTTCGGGAGAACAAAAATAAAAGGAATGTAATATTCAAGCAATTTTTAAACTGCCATAGTAGTTAATTATTAACTTTGTTTAGTATAATACTTTCAATATCATATATTGAAGTTGGAAATTCACTATCTATAGTGTATGTTGAAGTCGATTATAAATATTGCATTAATGCATTAAATTAACAATTTTTATCAAAGTAAACTACTTTATATCTTAAACTATGATTAAACAAGTTTATTTAAGTTCTGTCACAGTACTACCAAAATTTCTGGTAGCTAAATTTTGATAAGAAAAAATCATATTACCAATTTTCAGTATTCGTTTTACATATTCGAGGATTAAAGAAATATGAATACAGTGAAAAATTTGAAACAGTTCTTTTTCCCAATAATCTAATGGATTATGTAGATATCCATGCTATAAGTATTTCAAGGGCAGTAGTAAATGAAATAAGAACTAAACTATTAATTCACTATATAAGAGATCTATTAGATTCTACGGAGAAAAAAATTAATCATATATAAAACTGACAACTAATATACGCGAATAACATTTACCTAGTTTAAATAATAGATTACAATAGATCAAATAGAACAAATAGAACCAATAAAGACAATAATTTGTAATTAAGGAGTGATATATTCTAAAATATTTCGACAATAAAAAGTTTATAGGTCATTCTTATGAAGTTTTCTCTGTTTTAAACTATTCATTTTATTTCACATGTATCATATGAAAATCAGTACTGTTTTGTAAGTATTGCATGATGTAGTGCTTGCATGTTAGTTATCATTTTTTTCTCTGTCTTAGTTTGAAACTCTTTTATTATATACATTTCTATACATATTACATTACACGAAGTATATACACAATCAGGATACCTACCATTGCAAAACACAATTAGACAGTTAAATCGAACTCTACACAACAGAATAAATAAATAAACTATAAAACTAGATTCAAGAAACTATGTCAAGTGACATCGTAAATTACATAGAAAATGCCAGTGAAATCCGAATGATCACTGACAATGAGCGAAATCACCTTTGCCAAAAGGTTTTCAAACGCCATTGATACCAGAATATATTACAATCCACATTAATCGGATACACATTGATAAAAAGCATCCCCTTTATTCATATTTGTATCACCTCAAATACCTATACTAAATTAACAGAAAAAAAGCCATCAACTCAATGACGAAACGAATGTACACTAAAAATGAATGAACTGCTCATAAACACATTCCCTGCAACTGCTTACGGTAGGAAGACGATTCGCATCGTTGCCAAAGCGAAGAAAAGAAAAGATATCTCCGGTGGGCATCGCGTGAACGGTCGTTACGCGAATGTAAGGCGATGTCGCGGATAACCGAGGCGATTCTTATCCCCGATCGATCAGCCCTTTTAGCTTTCGCGTAGGAGGGTGTGCTGCTGTGACACCGTGAGTCAGCCTCCACTTTCATTATTAGTGTACATCCAGAACGAGAAACCGTCCGTGGTTCGCGTCGAGTAGTTTCGCCACCCTCTATCCATTCTGCTTTCCCCCCGTTGCTCTTCGCTATGAATACGAAGTGAGCTCGAGTGGCCGAAGGGACGAAAAGCCGCGGGGACACAGCCAGTCGGATGGAATCAGTTCCCTGGGTATCCCGTGAACCCGTGGTTCCCAGGAACGCGCACGCGACCCGGGATAGAGAACACGATCAATACGAACTTTGCGAACTCCTACACCCTGCGACGATACATCGTCCGCCTGTGGCCAAGCCCTCCTTCAACGAGGACAACCACCGAGAGACTCCTCCCTCGCACGTGTGCGTGGATTATTACGTACACGTGTGCTCATTTAACCCCACCCTCCTGTGAGATTCTGTCTCGCTGAATATATACGTTATATATACATGTGTATATATATGTATAAAATAAACTTATGTACATGTTATATGTTACATTATGTGTGTATATGTATGTATATGTATATTCGTTTGAGACACTCGCGGATTTATCGCTTTCAGCGATACAGGAAGCGGGGAAACGACCTAACAAGAAACTGCCGATGGGGATCGTTATGGACGAGCTTGATCACAGAGAGAACCGAGGCCTTTTAGGAATCGCGTTTTACCCGCTCGTGAATATCGTTCGCTAACGGAGGCTGGTTTTATGGACGCACTTTGCGAACGTAAAGGGGGATGTTCGTTTTTACCCTCGCGATTGTTGCCTCGCTGGAAATCATTAGAGGCCCGCTTGAATAGCTTTATTGCCCGGCGAGGTTTACGATGATTTTGAAGTTATTTTCTCTGTGGTAAATCTCCTTTTCGTTTTTTAACTGGTTTGATTAAGTTCGGAATCGGAAAGCGAAGCGCGAGGTAGAGATAGTTTACAGCGGTTCCCGGCGATAGTAATTTTAGCGGAGTTGCTTCTAATAAAAGGGCGAGCGGGATGTGTTTGATGGTTAATAGTTTGCCGTGTGTTTTATAACAAAAATTAGGTTATCTGTAGGTTTCGTAATGTCGAGTTTCTTGTATTTAGTCTTATGCAACGTGATGTTTGAACTTTAAATTGTTCACTATTTATTTTTTTATATTTGATCCTTTTGTGTAGTCTAATTTTCGTTTATTATTCTATTTTATAGTTTCATAATTTTGTGATATTCGAATTATCGAGCACAATACAATGATTTTCAATCTCGTTGGTTGCGACATTCTGTGAAAAAAGAAGTCACTGTTAAGCGTCGAATGAGGAAATAAATGATATAAATAAGATTTCATATTCTTGAACGTATGTTTAGGTATGCTCTTGAGTAACTTAATTTTTTTACTATTTTGTGCCATAGTGTCTTGCACTTTTCTCCGCGAATGCAACGTACTTACAAGGAAGTGCACCTTGTCAAGCTACATTTTTACTTTCACTTTCCATTAGATCGTCAATCGAGCTGTCTTTCTAGCTCGTTGACTAAAAATTACTTTCTATACTTTTCAACTGTTCTGACGATTCTGTTCTCGTACCGCGAGGAATATATAGATTTACGGATGAAGATAAGTGATATAATAGAAAAAGGTATTTATAGTCAAGTTATTTTTAACGATAAATTATTATTTAATAATTCTATTCGTGAAATATTTCGTTCTAAATAAACCGTTGATATCTTTACAAGCCTAAAAATAGATTTAACAGGAATTCCTTTCTTAAAGATTTTATTAAATCAAATAATGATCATTAAAATTGTATATTTTTCAAATTCTTTGTATTTTCTAGTTAAAATTTATGCAAATGTAAAATTCTCTTTAATTACGAAGTACGTCAGAACCAGTTAATAAATTTCGATTTAATTCATGATAATAGTATTCAATAATTTTTCACACTTCTAACTAACTTAATCTACTTCGATATTTCTATCTACGATTGAAATTGTGTAAACTTAAAATAAAATATAAACAAGCAAAATATTTACATAAAGTATTTTACAAAAAAATTATTCTTCTATAATCAATTTTCTCTATATATAACGTTAGTTTTGGTGAGAATAACGGCAGAAAAATAACACAGTTCACACTTTTAAACATATTGTTCATAGAAAAATTGTTTCCCTTCTCACCGTAACAGTTGCTGATCACTTGTCAGCATTGTGTGATAATAAAGTCATAAGGTGTCAAGGAAAGGTGTTATTCTCCAATAAAGAATCAGACGCAGAAGTAATCGTGTAGACACAGTTTGCATTTATTTCGCGTGCGCGAGTGTGACACGCCCGCGCGACAATATACTTACACTTTACAGCCTTTCAGTCTTCGCGAATATACAATAGTTACGGAGAGAGATCTCTAACTTATAATATGAAAAAGCAATAACAACGATAATAATCAAGTAATAATAATAATAATATTAATAATAAAATTAATAATAATAAAATTAATTATAATATAGTATCGGAAATTATCCCTAACGTAATTCGTAATCATAATACAAGTAGTTCTCTTTATTATCTACAATGGGTGTCCAAATAATACAGGGTTGGTCAACGCGACGATAAAACATTTCTCTTCCATACGAAATCTACGAGAAAGAATAGGTGGGGGATTCATTCATGACTGGTTGGGCGGAGTGTGCACTGTTACGTGACGGTCAATTTAATTTCAGGTTTATTTGATTCTAAGAATTTCTCTATTGCAAAAAAGGAAAAAAAATCGTTTCAAATACTACGAAATCGATAAAAACTTTGCTCCATTAAACATCGAATCACTATTCAACCCTGCTCAGTCATGAACGACGAATACTATATTCACTCAAAATTACACAGAATTCAATGATCGACATTTCGAATTTCAACGTTGCTGGTCTAATACGAAAATACGAAAAGAACATCGCGAATGGAAACGGAGTAACTTCGTGTCTCGTTTAAAAAAAACAAAAAAAAGAAAAGAAGGACGTGAACAAGTTTCCAATTCTCGTGTGAATTGCTTACGATTACAAGGATCGAGAAACAAAAGAACAGTGGAAGTGATACAATAATAAATCGTGCGAGGAATGCGGCGAGTTTATGTACAGGTATTTACATCCTTCCCCGAAGAAAGAAGTTCGATTAGCCGTGACGGCCAGTTTTCAATTCTCGTTCCTCAAACATCCCTTCGAGTCTCTCAGCGGCGAATCGTTCCGAACACCAACGTGATCCACCTCCTCTTCTCTTCGCCGGGACGATGAATCTTCAACGAATCTATGTATTCGAGAAGATGCGTCGGCAACGTTCGCGAGGACCCTCGTGCCTCGATCTTCCCAACCCTCGGTGCAGGCTCGAATAGTCCTGAGCGAGCGTTGGGTTCGTAGAGGTCAGCTCGCAGCGACCTGGACTTTACTGGAGCTGGTGCGACGAGCCGTGTCACCGTTCCGCGACCAGACCGGTCATCGTCGTCGTCGTCGGCGTCGTGGAGGTCGCGGGCACCGTCGTCGCGGCGTTTAACAACGGCTGAAGGGGTTGCCTGGGCGTCGTCTTCACGATACTGGACTCATGGTTCGTCTCCTCCAAGGTGGTCTGCAGGTCGCAGATATATTCGATCACTCTTTGGATCACCTCGAGCTTCGACAGCTTCCGCTTCCTAGGCATGTCGGGGACCAAAGAGCGCAGCTTGGTCAGGTAGGCCGCCACTTCCTCTGCCTCGAGGTCCCGCCGGGTCCCGTTGATCCCGAGACTGCTGTGCAAGACACCCCGGCTAGGTGGTACTCTACCGCCCACCGGACTCACCACCATTGCCTTCATCGTTGGTTTTCGTGGCGTTCACTTCGAACAAGGGTTTCGTCGGTGTATCGGTGTTGCCTGAACAAACGGGGAGGAAATGTGGGTCGTAGTTTAAATACGGTCACGCACACCTCTTCTCGTCTCGTTATCCACCGGACGCCAGTGTACGGTACACGCACCCCGTGTTTATCGATCGAACCGACCCGCCGAAGTGAAGAGCACCCGAGACGGAGTTTTTCTTCGACGGAGCTTTCCTTCGATTACTGTTGTTTCTCCCGTGTTTCGGTATTTTCCTTTCTTAGTGTTCACTGTTCGCTCGGTTATTTCCCTTCGGAGTGGAGCACGATTTGTTTTCACTCACACACGGTGTAGATTATTTTGGTCTGTTATCGCGAGGCGATCACATTCGCGTAGAACATTTTTCGATCGACTAGTCGGTTTGTGAAGAGCAAAGTTGAATTTCGAGACGAACGTGCGAACAACTAGCGATGCGGAACGCACATTCAACACGTTACACTCGACGGATCGAAGTCAACTGGCCTCCGCCCCTCACCTGCGCGCTTTTAAAGCCTTCCCCCACCAGACGCCGTGCTACCCCCGCGACGCCTCCACTACTTGTACGGCGCAATCGCTGCCCGAATAGAATAGCGTTGGATTCGAATTGCTCACGAAACGGA